ATGTGAACGTGTTGTAACGGTCCCAACCATATGTTATGTTTCTATATAATATTATAGTACACACACACTCAGACAAAACACATCGCGCGCCGCTGCCGGTGTAAATCTGTTCGTCTCGCCGTCGTCATTGTCGATTCGGCGGTGTCTGTCCGGTCCGGTAAAGATAAGGAATACCAAGCAATGAAAATTTTATCTCTAAAAGAATCAATCACATGGACATGCATTACTAGACTCCAGGAATTATTAAATATTGACTTAGTGACTAACTGCACGATGAGGTTGGACTTTTGCGTGAGTTTCAACCACAGCTCGTTGAAAAAAAATTGAGTGGATTTACGCTGGGTTGACTTTTATACGAAATTGTAAGACAGAAATACCCGTTCTTTCCATTCCTGTCTGCATGATGGAACAAGCATGGAGCAAGGAAAGAAACCGAATGAGCATTTCTTTAGTAAAAGCAGACCGACAAATATTAGTTGCTGCTCGAAAGCAAAGTAAATATAAATTTAAAAATTAATAAATGATTGAGATTTTCTATCAACATCATCATCCCTGAGGACTAAGATGAAATGTCTCACAACTTGTCATTATACTCTCTTACCCCTTAAACCAGAACACAACATCGGGTGGACTTCTACTCGGCGGCAGAAATAGGGTGGCACAAACAGATGATCCTAGGCTTCTGTAGCCGCTTACCATCAGCTCGACTATTAACTACTTTAGATATTGGAGCGAAGTTCTTTATCGGACGGTAGGTACGAATTTGGCGGATGGGTGCTAGGCGAGAAATATAGTAAGATTATTCCGTCACGACCCCTTCTGACGTAGTGCAGACGGCTTGGCAACTATAAGGAAGCGAGATGGAATAATATCCATCTCCCTCGCACTTTTTCTTATATTGCCATGAAAGAAATTTTATTTTATTTTAAATGACGCTTCATTTTAATAGACGCTATATTTTATAGTAATGAATTTATTTCTATTTGTTAATAATATAATACGTTTATCTATACAAGTAAATAAAATTTGAGTGTCTGTTTGTAATGTGAAAATAATATCTTTTCACTAAACGTATATGAAAATATATACGGTACTTATAACAAAAACATAAATTTTAAAAATTTTATCTGTCTGTCTGTCTATCTGTTTGTTCCGGCTAATCTCCGTAACGGCTGGACCGATTTTGATTGCACTTTCACTGGTAGACAGCTGATATTATAAGGACTTACTACGACTAACTGTGGCTACTTTTATTTAAGAAAACGAATTAGGGTTCCGCGCAAAAAAATTAAAAACCCAAATTACACGCAGGCGAAGTCGCGGAGAACAGCTAGTCAATAATAATAATATATTATAAGCGTCAGTAGCCTAATGTCAGGGCGCGGACCGCGAACTCGAAAGGTCGTGGGTTCGAATCCGCTATTCGTCTACTGTCGTGAACCACTTCTAACACAAGCATTTTAAGCTTACCAGAAGTGGTTTAAGGGAAGATTAGTAATGTTTAAAAGCATTACTGGTAAAAAAAATACTACGAAAGGAACTTCGTTCCAACCGAGTGTTCCACAACACTCACGCATGTTTTTTTTTATTTTTTAAATAATAATGCGATAAACTATGATAAATAATGAGGCCTACTTCTTAATGGGTAGTTAAAATTAAGACGAAAGTGAGTTCAATGTCACTTTCCTCATGCAATCATAATTACCTGAAATTAAACATATCCTGCATGTATTGAATCACTGTAAAGAATTTTAATTTATGCAAAGTGTCGGGCTTATCGTGTCTCGACTCCTCAAGAAAATGTTTGAAAGTTTCGTTCGCCAAATTGTCAGTTATAACGGTCACGCACTTTAATATAACACCGTGTAAGTTTGTTCGTCTCAGCTTGCGAATGTATAGCGTCGAGTTCCAAAATCCTATATCACGCATGACAAATAATCCATTATTATCAAAACCAGTATTAAATACTTCGTACAAGTTATAAAGACTTCCTTTCTTGTGTATTAAGATTACATTTGAATCGATCTCAAGAGAGTAACGGGATAGAACTTGCGTCGTCGACTCCAACTTGTTTGTATTAATCAACCAATGAATTCGTTGCCTGTAGGCAGTATTTGAGTACCTTTCAAAAACGTTTGTCCAACCTTTGCAAGATGTATCCAGGATGATTAACACGTTGGATTCTTTAAATTGGTAATCATGGAAGTTACCCGATTTAACAGACAAGATTTTCATATTGTTGTAGTAAAACACTTTTTGCATTGCAAGTACTTGAGAAGCATTATAACAGTGAACAAATACTCCATCATTGATATAATTATTCTTTGAGATTTGTGTAATCAATGGAACGTGAGGAAAAATAGAAAGCAAAACGCTTAACGCAATAGCTTCCATGGCTATGACTGTAGAAATAATCAGGTCAGCTGTCAGTATGTACATTAAAAATAAAAATTTAAAGACAATGGCTAAAAGGGTATTCAAAGGGCCAATTATCAACACCCATTACTGTCAACAGAAGTTAAATGAAAGCTGTCTTCTATAATTTCTACAATTTGTCCGTAATAAAGCATAGACGTCAACTCAACATCGTTTACTTAAATGCATTAAAAATGATTTTTAAATTATGTTGATATATTTAAGGCAAAATATATCACAGACAATTACCATTAACGTAACAATTTATAGATTAAGGGTGACAAACGAGCACACAGTCCACCTGATGGAAAGTAGTTGCTGTGGCCCATAGACATCTACATCTATCCACATTTGCGAATCAAAATGCAGATGCGTTGTCACCCGTGAGGATTAAGATGGAATGCCTCGTTTCCAGTAAAGAGGGTTTACGGTTCTCTACACTCACCATACGAAACACAGCAGTTTTAAGTTGCTATTTTACGCTGGTACTCTGTGAGAGCATGGTCCTTTCCCGGTCGAGCCGACCCATTCATGCTAAAACTATATATTAATATAGCTGCCGCATGGCTCTACCACTTTAAATTTTTATTCAGCTTTCATTAGAAAGATGCTGCTGCCCGCCTCCTGGTTCAGTTTCTCTTTCTCTGTCTGCTTTTACGACACCCACGGGATACGGGATACTATATGGGGTAATAGTTTTTCTTACACCGCCACTACACAGTTCCAATCTCAGGTACACTTAAAATTAATACTGGTATATCATCCCGTGGATGTTCATAGAGTCGACAGAAGGATATAAAACACCAGATAGGTAGCAGCATCTTCCTGATAACTCAAAAATAAAAGGGGTGGCCAACCCGCCCACCAAGCAAATATCCCCCTATGAGGCAATCTAGGTGGCGGCCTATGTTCATTAGTGATTTTGATAGGGTGTAATGAATGAATGAATGAATACATAGTGCGCAAGCAGTTTGCTCTCCAGCGGCATCATTGAAATTGTTAATTTCAATTTTAAGTGCTAATTAAGCACGAATTCTGCGATTAGGGAAAAATCGTGAGGGAACTTTTTTTTTGTTTTACATGGGGAAGTCCTCGCCTCGCATACCCGGTTTATGTCGGATTCGCACCGACTAAAACTCCATAGTGTTCCACCTTCGTAGCAGATTGCGTGGGCACGGGGAACGCTTTCGCACACATCCGCGGCCCACCAGCGTTAACCATCCCATGGCGGCTAGCGCTGGTGGGGGAGTAGTCCTCCACGGGAGAAGACTACTCCACCACCATCTCATTCTCAGGTAAGGCGCACAAGAACACACGGCGCGCTCTCCTCCGCGGCCTCCAACTTCACCTGCGCAACGGACAACCCCGTGTACCTACGATGCGCGATAGCCGACAGGAAAAATGAGCACTCAGAAGCACTAACCTTCCCGACCCCAGCGGCGGATCTGGTCTATAGCTCCGCCGCCAACCATGATTCGACTGCGAAGGTTAGGGAGAACGGCGCCTCGCAATATCGACACTCCTCCCCCCCCCCCCCCGCAGCCCCTCCACCACCACCGCATCAATCAACAGTGCGGTCCCGTCAGAGTTGCGGAGAGTAGGGCGAGTGGCGCATCGCCATACCACTCCTCTTCCTCCGCGACTCCACCTCGGCTGCTGCGATATGGGGAGAGGGCACCCCTCTCGCCGTACCCCCTCAGCCCACTAACACATCCGAAGTGGGCTCGACAAGCCCACTCGGAGTGGCCACCTCGGACCGGACCTACACCTCGGGCCAGCCATGTGGGTTCCTCTTAGTTCACCGCAGGTGACCAAGCTAGTACCTACCTCATTGGCCCCCTCTAGCGGCCATATATTGTAAATTATAACTAACTACTCGTTTTGCAAATAAAGTACACTCATGGACAAATTCGGAGAAACGTAAAAAATAAAGGTTTAATTTCTGCTGTTGTAAATACCGTGCGTATTGGCCTTAAACATTATAGTAAATGCTTTAAATAAAGTTTTGGAATGTTATTTTTTTCGAATTTCATTTCATCGTTCACAAATCCACTGCTGAACATAGGCCTCCCCCAAAAAATGTCACAAATCACAGTCTTGGGCCACCTGCATTCATCGACTTGCTGTATGTCTTTCCAGATTGTCACTTCATCTAGTTGGGTGCCGCCTGCGATTTTCGGTTCTTCGAGCTATATGGCCGGACCATTGCCACTTCAGCTTAATAATCCCTTGGGCTATATAGATTGATTAAATACAAAAAAGTTACTTTCGTGTAAAAAATTTCTTATTTTCTTAACCCTTAATTTGGCAAGCCAAGCTAAGTTATGGCAATAAGCTAAGATGAATATATTTTGCTGTTGGACATTAGAAATGTATGGAAAAAATCTAAATAAAATTATTTATTGTAGGGTTTCCTGGAAAACAGACGTTAAGTATATTCAACAAAATTCGATGTACAAGAAAAAAAGTAGTGTTACAAGCGTTGAGTATTCTTAACAAATCTCAATAAGGGTACTGCAAAATCAAACATAATTCAATCAAAAAATAATGTTTATTCGAAAAATTTTGACAAATTGACAAGAGTATTAAGGCTTCCTATGGTGGTAATTATAATGACAATTGCGATCTTTAACAAAGCAAAGTCTGACGTTACATTTCATGCAGAAAACGGTGGTAAATCCTTTTTTGCAATAAGCACAACGACCATAATCCTTTCCATGTTCTGGGAAATGGTCGATATTATCGAATCTAACATCATCTACTGGTCTGGAACGCGTAGGGTTTTTGATTTTATTTATTTTATTAAGATCTTGTACATTAGCTGCGTCTATAGTTGTCCCCTTTTTCAGCAATGCCTTGTAAATACTTAGCCTAAACTGTTTCAAAAGAATATATTTAATCTCTCCCTTTCTTTTATTATCCCTTCGGTAAGTCAACCAAGCATTATTAATACATATATCAAGTAATTGCGAAAAAATCGATAGATACCAGCGCCTGGTCTTCATTTCGGTGCGATATAAAGCTATCAGCATATCTGACAGGTCGACGCCGCCCATATGGACGTTGTAATGCATAACAACATTAGGATACTGTACCTCAATCCTCTGCTTCCTAATTTTGCAGTATCTTCGTACCTTAGTTAGTGGATATGCGTCTGCGTAACTTGAAGCCAGTACAACACATTTATTGTCGTTCCATTTGACCACAGAGTGTTTGGTTTTATTACAAACAGTTTGACTAAAAGCCCCTCTGCCCTGAGTTTTCAGAACCTTGTCTGGTTTCAGATATTTTCCGGCATCTCTCAGGCGATTTGTACGCATTGTACCAAGAAATATTCCGTAGAAATTCCTGAGATGGTGTATTAAATCCAAAGAAGAAAAAAAGTTGTCAAAGTAGACGACACAAGGTTTTTTCTTTATGCTTTTACAAAGTCTCAAAACAGCCTTGGCCCCCCAACCTAAGCCTTCTTCTTCCTTTGTAAAGTTACAATCCCCAAAATTATCGTTACCAGTATAAAGAAAAAAATCGTAAATAATCCCTGATGCACCTGCTCGCACCAAATTTTTAAAGCCCCATTTTCGTGGCTTGCGCGGGTTATACTGTCTTTTTTTCCCAGCTTTGGTGCCTTTATATGGAATCACCATTTCATCTATACTGAATCTAGTCTCTTCTTCTACTTTCAGGCAGTTTGCACGGATTTTTTCCACTACTGGTCTTATTTTAAAATATGGATCGGAGTCAGTATCTATATTATCTACAAAATGTAGGTATCTCCGTATAATTTGATAACGCTTTAGAGGCATTACATCCGCAACCAGTGGGAAACGGGTGTCAGTAGCCCAATAATCCAGATATGAAGGCATGGACACGATACCCGTAATGACTTTAATTGCTATAAATTTGCGCAATTCGGCACCTGACAAATTTATTGATCGGCCTGTTTTCTGAATGGAATACATATTTGTGTAGTGACATATTTCGTCGAACATATCTTCTGAAAAAAAGTCGTTGAAATAATCTAATGTTGTTTTTCCATCAGGTATAGGATTTTCAAACTTATCGGGTTCTAATTCGGCACGAAATCGAAAACGTCCGCTTGACCATTGAAATTTGAGGTTGACTTTCTTATTTTTAGTAACAATACAAGGCCTTTTCGAGACCGAGTTTTGCTGACGGCGTCGTTTTCGAGTATAACGATTTGGAAGAGGTGTTGAAGTAGAATTACATGGAGATTGTTGGGGAGAGTCACTTACTTGGTTGATTATAAATGATGGCGTCATAGAAGGTATGTTTGACATTGGAGAAAGTGTTGGTAAAGAACTTATGGATGTCAGTGAAAAGTTATTTGCTTGGTGGTCATCATCATAATTGTCAGTCTCATCATATCCTGTGTGATCAGTCGGAGCCGTATTCGGATAATTGTCATCGGAAAAATCTATATCGAGCCGTTCTAAAGCAGAGTCAATTGATGGTGCTTCAGATGACTCAGAAGCTCGACTTTGAAAGTTGTACACTTCGTCTTCAAGCTCATTCTCAGAGTTCGATGTCCCACTTATATCAGATTGAGCGTTTTCTTGGGGTACAAGGGCCAAAATACGTTTTGACCTCAAATTCTGAAACAAGAATTTTATTTTGCAGGCAAAAAACAAAGCAAGCATTTTATCGCACACAATATACATGATAATATTGCTCGGAAAGGAATATTATATGGTGGAAATTAAAGTATTGCGTAAAAAGAGAAAAGCTATGCATATTATAAATAAAATAAGAACACCAAATTCCTTATTATTGTTAAGCAGCCTTAACAAACAAAACTGCCATCACATATCCTACCATGCAAATTTGTAGAGTATACTCAACATACGTTTATCACACTCAATTACACACCACCGAACTTTGTTAATGATACTCAACATTCATGTTTACATACCTATTGTGTTTATATCTCATAGCGTATAGAATTGAAAATGATAATTAAACATTAGATATATATTATAGAAATATAAACAATTGTCATAATTATTATTTTTAGACACTTAACACAAAAAAAATGTAAAATTACCTGCACAGTCCGCAGCGTGTTTCGCCTGGTCGCCATTTTTGCTTGGTACTGTCAAATTTAGTGTTGCTACCTGGTTCAAATATTTTTTTCTACCAAAAATACTAAATTACAAATTATATAAAAACAAAAAAAAATTAAACCGCGACAAAAACATAGTACTATATTTTTTTGATTCGAGTGTTGAGTATACTTAACGAAATCAAATTAAGGGTTAATTTGGTAAATTTTTGTCATTTGAACTTTTGTTTTTACGACGTTTGCAATTTTTAATTAACAAATATTAAAGCAAAACCGAAATTGATAAACTTGTCACAAATATCCGTGATATACGAGGGCGACACTGACCGCCTTATTCCAAAACACGGACTTAATATAGTACTGGAGTTAGTAATATATTTAAACCATAAACTAAGAAAAACGTTATTACAAAACGAAGATTATCTCTGGTTCAAGGATTATCTATGGTATTAAAGTTAATCTTTCGAGACCCCTAGTTTAGCTATGGTACTAACCTTTCTATATAGTTTGTGGTACTCTATACTAACCTCAATTTCGGTACTTCTTAATTTGAGGTGAGCGTTGTTTTCATTTGGTGTTATTAAAATCGTTAAAAATGGATATTAACATGATTGACTTGATGGATTTAGAAGATTTGGACATGCTGGAGACCACTCGGCGACCTGATAGACATCGACATCGTGTGAATCCGTTTGAATTGAGTGACGAAGATTTTAGGTATAAGTATAGGTTCTCAAAACGTTTCGGAGAAAAAATAGTGGGTATCTTACGTGAGGATTTAGTGCACGACCCTCGAGGATGCCCATTGAGTCCTGAAATTCAAGTGGTTTGTGCATTACGCAACTGGGCTCGCCATGAAGTAAGTGCTGTTTATAATCTTGGTGGGGTCAATGTACCTAACATTACGCTAGATAAAAAGCCAAATAATACATATTATTGTTTTATTCGTAGATTCAAGACGATACAGCTAATTTACATAGTGTGTCTCAACCAGTAGTCAGTTGGACATGTAAAAAAGTAGCGGAAATTTTGTCACGGAATTCCCGAGAATTTATTAAAATGCCTATACTTTTAATGAACAACAGGAAACCATTAGGAAATTTCGCAGTATTGCTAATTTTCCTACAGTAATTGGCGCAATTGACTGTACTCACATACGAGTAAAGAAAGTGAATGCTGATGGGGGTCAGTTATATATTAATAGAAAAGGATTTTCTTCAATTAATGTACAGGTAATATACAAATATTTTAAATAGCTGTGATTGTCTCTTAATAACTTTACTTTATCATAATAGAAAATAATTTGTTTGACTATCTTATGGTAATAAATATATATTAAAATAAACCAGAAAAACATAAAGTACTAATGAGCTCTTATTTTACAGGTGGTTTGTGATGCTGACCTGAAAATCATGGACATTGTTACCAGGTGGCGTGGTAGTGTACATGACTCCAGAATATTCCGAGAATGTAGACTAAAACAGAGGTTTGAGGCTGGTGCATTCTCTGGAATATTACTTGGTGACAGTGGCTATCCTTGTACTCCTTACCTATTTACACCGCTGCTGAACCCCACAACACCACAAGAAGAAAGATATAATAGGAGCCATATCCGTACCAGGAACACAGTGGAAAGATGTTTTGGTTTGTGGAAGCAACCGTTTCGTTGCCTATTAAGAGGTATGTTTGGAGATATTGAAACAGCAAAAAAACAATTGTTGCATGTGCTGTACTACACAATATGGCCATCGACATGAGAGAAGATGTGTTTTCTGGTGAGAGAGATAGCATTGAACAATATTCATCTGAACCTATAGTACAAAGATATATTACACCATCAATAAGGGGAAATATTAGAAGAAGACAGTTTATTGAAACTCATTTTCAGTAGGTAAACATTTTTTTTTACAAATTTATATAACTATTTATAATTAAAATTTATAATTATATTTATAAAATTGTCAAATTTTTTTCAATTGTCTAAAGCTATGTATATATAATTTATTTTATTTTGTTATTCAGAGGCCAATTTTGGCTATAAAATTACATTAAAGATCAATAAATGTATAAGACAATTATAATAATATTTCTTTTTGATTTCAGACATAATACCCATTTATAAAGGAACATATTTCTGCAGAGCCGTTGTCAGCTGTCAAAGAATAACGACTACATATTCACCAATATGAAATAAATTCAGGGGAGTATTGTGATAATATTTCATTTATTGAGCAAAATGCTTTTATTTAGGCTATAAATGATTGTGTTTCAGGGAAAGATGCGGGGTACAGCACATTCCACATCAATATGAAGCTATATTATATAAAGATTTAAGTGCTGTAGAGATACGTTTAGATTTTTTAATAAATATCGTCCCTCCTCTACATTCACAGCCGGATTTCCTTTCCAGAGGTGCAAGGGTCCACGGGGAGTAGGACTGTATGATAACTAAGTAAATAGGTTTAGTTTTTTTATTATAGTTTTTTACTATTGTATATTATATTTCATTGTTATGTAAATAAAATGCATATTAATTATAATTATTTATTTTAATTATTAATAAAAGATGTACAAATATTTGCAGCAATTAAGTACCTGAAAATAATAGTTTCATATATGAGGATATTTACAAACATGTATCTGATATAGTCTCAAATATTTAGTTTTTTTTTATAGGATAATGGTGATAAACACAGTCTACCACACACACACACACACACACAGTCCATCTGATGTTAAGTAACTGCTGTGATGCATAGACGTCCACATCTATCCTCGACTACAAATCAAAATGCAGATGCGTTGTCACCCGTGTGGAGTAAGATGGAATGCCTCATTTCCTGTAAAAGAGGTCTCTCTCATACAAAATTTGTACAAAAATTTATCCAAAATTTGTCAATAAACAAGTTTAAATGTTTTATTAAAGAAAAATTTTATAAAAAGGTTATTATAATATCAAAGAATACATAAATGAAAATATTGGAAATACTGGAATTGAGGTGATCGCCACCATGGTGGTTCTATTAAAATTCATTTAAAAATTGTACAAATAAAATTATTGTTAAGAGAAATGTTTATAAAAAAGTCCCACTGGGTTTCTTACTAGTTCTTCCCAGGACTGAGGTATTTTCCGAACCAGTGGTAAATAAAAAATGTCTTTCAATAAGTATTCTGTAATAATCTATATTTAATAAAAATCATTCTATTCTATTCTCGTTCTATAAACTCACCATAATAAACACAGCAGCATTAAGCTGCTATTTAACTTGTGTTTTTCTGACTTTCTAATAAAGATATTTGTAACTCTAATTTTCTAATTTTTAGGTTAGCTATTTTAATATTGTATTTATGTTCCTCTTCCATCATTTCCAGTTGTCTTTTTTTAAATCTGTGTTACTTTTTACAATTGTTTGGTGTACATCTTCTCTTCTGTAAAATGAAATGGAATACTTAATGTAAGTTTTGTAGTTATTTTAGACATTTACAAAGTATTCTAGAGTAATAAAAGTGCACTTAACCTTGTACACCAATTAAAGAAATATTTTTTAATTATTTTTAAATCAATTCATATTAAACTTTGCTTTTAATATTTGAAAACATGAAACAATTTTCAGTGTTTAAATACTAATTTTCACATTTTAAAAAGTATGTAATGTATCAGACTATGTAATTTTTTCAACATACCTATTTTGCAAGCTATTTTTCCTGTTTTTAATTTTTGTTATACCCCTAGTAATAATATCTTTATTATTGGTTATTTTCACCATTTTGGCACTTTCTTCTGTATCTGTAGTTGGATCTATCTCTAAAAATTAATATAAATATAACAGTTTTAGAAAATTAACATTTATAATATTTACAAACTTGTATGCCTATGATTGTAACTATAATAATAATATATTTTGCTTTTTAATAAATATTCAATCAGTATTATTTACCTTGCACATATACAACATTGGGTTCTGGATTTTCTACATTTTTAACTATAGCTGTGTCTGTTTTTTCAAAATTAAGGCGAGGCTTAGGGTCAGCAACTTCTTTTGATGTTGTAGCCACAGTCACTGGATCCTAAAATAAATCATTAAAACATTTATTAACATGTTTTCCTGTCACCTGTCACCTCTATTTTGCCCTTTATTGAATCAGGTATTTTCTATGTTGTAGAAATATTATTATGATCCAAGACAAAAGGTAATTTAATAAATTATTAATTATAATACCTAATAGACAAAAATAGAAAATTATAATCGGACTGTGTAGATAATCTAGTAACATGTGTGTTATGATATTATATAGACCACTTTATATTAATTTGTGACATTTCAATTTTGAATATAATTAATTATAAAGAAATTTATGTTAAATTGTTACTAAGTATATTAAATTTTGAATATTCGGAAAATAATTTTGGATTGTAAATTGTATGCTTTAAGAGTAGATTTCAGAGCACTACCTAGGTACTAAAGTAATGGAAAATAAAGTTCTTTAATTTTAATTAAATTTGTAAGACATGTAAGTAATTTTATTTACCACTGCATCACTATCATAATTATTAACTTCAACGATAAAGTCGTGAGG